ATTCGGTGACTGGGGTAATCGGGATGGGTGTGTCGGAGGCGGTGCGGTTGGCGCAGGATAGGGCAGGGTTTAGAGCTGTTGTGCATAGGGTCGCTATGAGTCGGAAAGGACTCGATGGCACATAACAACAACAACAACAAGATCCCTCTTTCTCTGCTCGCTCCTCTCTCCTTTTATCTCTTGTCACACTCTAAGGAAATTCCTCTTGTGTTGGATCAGGGCTATGAGGAGAGCAAAGGTGGTGGCTTAAGTCGGGTGATGCACTCCACTTCAATCCTGCCTCATTAACCACAGAGGTTCCGATTTATAACATATAAGAAAATGGAAGATAATCTTATAACACTGGGAATAATGCTCTAGCCAGATGGACAAGTATTTGAGAGGCAAGGAGGGTGGAATGACAGAATCTGATCCATGACTGATTGGCAGCCTGGCAATCGACTTCTGAGAAGTTAGCCACTGAGGACTTCATGAAACATAGTTCTCATCTGACACACAGGGAATCACAAAGTGTTGGTGTTGACTGAACATCAGCTGGTCTTGTCTATGTAGAGTTTCATGGCACTTTGGTGGTTCAGCAGTATAATTATCATCTTTCATGAAGAAGATCCAGGTTCAAATCCCACTCAAGACACCTCATTCTCATTCAGTTACTACCTGTCTGCCAGTAGAGGCCTGCATGTTGCTAGGATGCTGAGCAAATTTCAGTAGAGCTTCCAGAAGAAGACAAACCAGAAAGAAAGGCTTGTCAATCTGCTTTCAAAAGTCAGCCTATGAATTCTATGAATCACACTGGTCAATCCACAGCTGGTAACTGCTGGCTCAAGACCATGTGTCAGTTCATTCAGCTCTGCGTGGGCAGCTAACAAGGACATGAAAATGTCACTGAGGCCAATTAAGTGTGCATTATCCCTGTGTGTATGTATATGTGTGTGAGTGGTTAATGAAAGTGGTATTGTTTATACTGACATGCAGGCAGCAGAGGCAGTAGATGAAATGCAGTCAAGAGCATTAGAGCTGAGCAGAAAAAAAGGGGGGGAAATGTAAACAATAGGTTTGATTGATGATAGTACATTTGTAAATTGCAAACACATTCTCACATGAGACAATGTTATGTGCTGTACCCAGCCAGCATTCAAGGATGCAAAGTGAGGTACTGTGGTGGAATCTCATGGAAGGGAGGGGAGAGGACAGGAGGTGGGCAGTGAAAGCAGAACACTGAAGAAACACAACTGGAGAGGGGCCTGGTTCATGGTGCACCACAATTCTGAATTGAGAGGTCAGAAGGGGTGGGTCTGGGAGTTCGGAGCACAGAGTTCAAACCCCGGATCTAAGACATTTAAGTATCTGGGATTTAGACAAGCCATTCAGTTCCTCTTTCCACAACTATTATGTATCTAATCTGTTTGTTGTACAGCTAATGTCAAACACTATCCTGAGCTGAAGACATCATGGTGAATGAAACTGTAAAATAATAAGATCATTTCAGGGAAATGCTAAACAGTGTGAGACTGAGTTTAGATTGCTTTGTTCAGATGGCCTTTCAGAGAGCTGACATTTGAGCAGGGAGGCGGATGATGAAAGGAACCAGCTGTGAGATGAACCAGATTTAAGTGTCTCTTAAGAGCAGAGGAGCAGCATGTGCTGAGGTCCTGGGGTGAGAATGCAATGTGCTTGGCTTGTATTGAGAAAGGCAGTGTGTGGGTGGGGTGCGTGAGGTACTGAATGCTGCGGCTATGGGGCATGGCAGGAACAGCATTCTTTGTGGGCCTTTGTATGAGGGTTCAGATTTCTTCTAACTGCGGCAAAAACTATTTATTCTAACTCTTAAACATCAAACCCTCTGCTAGAGACGATTCTGACCCCATGTAGGACAGCGAACTGCCCATAGATGGCCAAGGCTGTAAATCTTTACGGAGGCAAACTGTCTCGTGTTTCTCTCCAGAGCAGAATAGCTAGTTCTACGGCTATTCGAATCCATCAGAGGATCGTTGGGAGAAAGATGGGCATCCCCAGCCTCTGACACCCCAAGGTGGGTCTCTCAGTCCGAATCCACTTGATAGCGATGAGTAGATCTTTTGCTCAGCATCCAAACTCTTTAACCCCGGCGCCAGCAAGGACCTTTATCCGAACTCAGAGTAATGTAAGCAGAGGAGTGACCGAGTAGCCAACTTAAAAAGTGATACTGAAAAGGTGAACGGAGAAAAGGATCAGGTTTGTTTTGAAAGATCATAAAAGCTCGATGAGCCAGTTTCCACCTCAACAAGACGAGGTGAGCCCTGCTCTCTCGCAGGGCCGAGTAGAAAAGGTGGAACGGCAACAGCGGAGGCCCCGCTGGCCCCACATCCGGCTGGGTGGCCGGCGCCCCGCAGGCGGACAGGGGGGTGGCGCCGGAAAGCAGCACCTCCTGTCGCTCGTCGAGGAGGCCGCTGGGCGGCGCAGCACGCCGGCGCAATCGGCTCTGGAAGGCGACCAGCCGGCTCGGCGCTCGGCCTCTCTGGTCTACCGCGGCTGGCGGGGGCGGAGCCTCGACTGCACGCGCTAGACGGGGGCGGGGCCTGTAGCTGGGCGGGATTTGGTTGCGGGGCTAGAGGCGGGGCCGCGGCGACTAGGGGCAGGCGGCGTGGATGGCGGCGGCGCTGGGCTCCTGAGCGGGCCGGGGCCATGAGGGCCTCCCGGCCCCAGTTCAGCATCGATGACGCCTTTGAACTGTCCCTGGAGGACACAGGCCCTGCTCCCGAGCCCAGCGGGGTCGCCAGATTCGGACCCCTGCACTTCGAGCGCCGGACTCGGTTCGAAGTGGCCGATGAGGACAAGCAGTCCCGGCTACGCTACCAGGTGAACAGCCCGGCCCACCTCGCCCCTGCCCTACCGGGCTGGACCCCTGGAGGGACCCACAGAACCCTGTCTACAGGAAGAATCTGCCTGGCGATCCTAGCAGTAGCGAGAGACAAACCCTCCAGTTCAGACTTCAGTCCCAAGCCAGCATTAGCCAACCCAGACCCAGGGCTTAGTTTCCTACTGGGGACCCCACGAGGCTTGGAAAAGCCTTGTCTTACTCCCCAATCTGAGCCTTGTTCATCCTCAGCGGTATTCCTTCTGCCCCGCACCAGATGAGCTACTGGGAACCTGGGTCCCCTTTCTTCCCCCAGAGCTGGAAGGTTCCCCCACATAGAACAACTCCTCGCTTATCCTCTGACTTCCACTAACCCTGGAATCCCCATTTCCCCTGGAGATCTCCACTAGCCCAGGACCCTTTTCTTGGCGACCCGACCAGAAAGTCTGTGCTCCAGTCCTGAGAACCCTGAACCTGTCCAAACCCTGTACCCTGAAAACAAAACCCCTCCTCTGGACTCCTGAAACATTCTGCACTTTACCTGAACCCCCAAACTTGGGAGACTTGTGTCCCAAAGCCCCTAGCACCCACCTCCCACTTGGGTTTCGGTTTCTGTGAATCACCAAACCCGTTCTGCTGGGAGGGTGAGGGTGGAGACCAGCAGCTGTCAAGCGCAAACAGCTGTGTGGGCCTCCTCCCCACCCCCACCCCGCCCGGAGTGGGGAAGGGCTGACCTGGCAACCCTCCTGAGCCCCGTGTTCTGGAACAGAACCTGGAGAATGATGAGGATGGAGCCCCAGCCTCACCGCAACCAGATGGGGGAGTCGGCACCAGGTCAGGGCCAGGTGGGGACCCACCCTCTACCCCAGCCCTGTGCCTTTGGCTCTTGGCCTTTCAGCAACCCCACTAAGTGCTGCACCCTGCATCCCATCTCTCTCACCCTGTCCCCTCTGAGAGCTGCCTGTCCTGCTGAACACCCTGCCCCATATTCTGCTGGATGCTCTAGATGTGCCCTCGTGGCCCCTCTGTTCCCTCACTGGATGCCCTTCCCTGCAGGGATTCAACCCAAACCTCCATCCGAAGTTCCCAGTGGTCCTTCAGCAGCACCAGCACCCAGAACTCCTCCAACACTTGCTGCAGGTGAGGGCTTCCCCAGCCCCAGGCCCTTGGTGCCCCCCACAGCCCTCTCATAGCCTTCCTGCCTCTTGCCACCCAGCTGGGTCCAGCATTCTCTGATCCAGAAGAATCGCCGGGTGGTGCTGGCCTCCTTCCTGCTCCTGCTGTTGGGGCTGGGTGAGTGCCCTGGGACCCCTAACGCCTCCTATGACATCCCACCCTCCTATAATGCAGCTCTGTGCACTCCTAATGAACCCTGGGAAGGCAGGTGGCTGGCATCACAACACCCATTTCATAGATAAACCAAGAGGGCCAGGCCTCAACTCCTGATTACACAGCTGGGAAATCAGACATAAGAAGTGGGACCTGGCTCAGCTCCAAAAAGCCTTGGACTTTTCCTTTTCAAAAACTTAGCTTATTTATCATTCAGTCTGCACAGTCTGCTGCTATTCCAGGAGCCTTTTTCAACCCTAGGAATGTAACAGGAGAAGAGAGGTAGAGGCTGCTCTCGAAGAGCGTCCAGTTCACCTGGTGATTGTTTAGACTGAGCAGACACTAAACAGCTGCCGTGTGCTGCGTCTGCTGGGGGCCATGTACCAAACCCAGCACAGCCTACAGCCGCTGAGTCCATTCCAGCCAGTGGCAGTCTGCCATCAGGTCCGTGAGGTTGTCCGTCTGTACAGGACGACACTGTCCACCTTCCTCGTGCAGTAACTGCTAGATTCAAACTGCTGACTTCCTGACTGGCAGTCTAGCCCTTTACCCACTGTGCCACCAGAGGTACAGGGCAGTTGTCTTCTCCCCACCCTGCACATGGGGAAGGAGTCCTGGTGGTGCAGTGGTTAAAGACTTGAACTGCTAACGGAAAGGTCTGTGGTTCAAACCCATCAGCGACTTCTCTGGAAAAAGACAAGCAGTCTACTTCCAAAAAGATTGACAGCCATGAGGAGGCTCTCCTCTGCCCTCCAGGGCTGCTGCAAGTCAGAATTCATGGCACTGGGTGTGGGAGTTCAGGGCTCTGCAGATTGGGACACTGAGACTTAAGTGAGCTAGCCAGGCCTTTGTAGAAACTATAGCGAAGCCAGAGAGAGCCTGAACTCCACGGGACTGCCCAACTTTTTCAACTCTTACAAGTTTTCCACCTTTGTTGGTGCAAGCTTACCACCTCTCTGTCGTCCATCTTAGTGGAAAAGATCTGCATTTTCCATCACTGGTAGGTTTCTGCCTTGTCCAGGTTCCAGCTTTAGCAGATTTTAGTGTAGAGACATGCACCCATTGAGGGTGCAGAACCCATAGCCTTAAAGCAGGATTAGATGTAAGTGCCAGCTCTAAGCAGCACAGCAACCACAGGACAGTTCATGAGGTTTACAGCCTCCACACAAAACTGCACAAATAGCCGAAAGTCTGGCTCCCCAATCCCGTCTCCCTGGAGACCCAGACTCTCTGGGTCTGAAGAGTGGATCCACCCATAGCCTGGCTGCCACCTCTAATGCCACAGTCACATCCCTCCTGGGGCTTACAGTCCCCCACGGACTCTCTGCCTCTCCAGTCTCGCCGAGTGCCAAAGCTCCAAAAAGGCTGAGTCCCACTGGACCCCAAGTCTTTGCCATACATTTGCCTCCCTCAGTTTGAAAAGTTCTGCCTCTCTGCTGGACCAGGCCAGGATGTGGTTTGGTGAAACAGGAGTCATGTCACGCTTGTCTCAGTCAGGTGATAGCCCATACATCAGTACACGTGACCTCCAGCCCAGTGCCTGGATGTCCTCCCTAATAAGGGGCCAAGAAAGGCGAACTGCTAGTACTCTTGGTAGAGAACCCAGTGGCATAGTGTATTATGTGTGGAGCTGCCAACCAGATGGTTGGCGGTTTGAATCCACCAGCTACTCCTCAGGAGAAGGATGGGTACTCTCCCAGAAAGATCCAGACTCAGAGACCTGACAAAGGGTTGCCATGGATCAGAACCAGGGCAGTGAGTTGAGTTTGGGTTTTTGGTTTGGTGTGTTTTGTGTATGGCTGCTAACTTTCAGTTTGCTAGTTTGAATCCACCAGCTGTTCCAAGGAAGAAAGTAGGGCACTGTTCCCCCAGATTCACTCAGTCAGCTGATGATAGTATGTCAGTGTGTGGTGGGTTTGATTTCGTACCACCACCAACACCATTGTGTGCTGCTGCTCCTCAACCTTCTGGTCTCAGGTTAAACATCACTGTTTCCAGGAATCCCCTCCTTACACCCCTGGGCTGATGAGGGGCTCCCACACTGCCACCCTAAGTGAGAAAAGAGCAGTGGTGGATTTGAACTGCTAGCCTTTCAGTTAGCAACCCCAACACTTAATCTACTACGCCCCCAGTAGGTGTTCCACAAATGTTTGAGTGAATATATGGACACACCCTCCATCAAAGGCCTTCCCCAGAGTCTGTGGCTCTGCTTGGAGGGGTCAAGGGCGGATCCACAGGGAAGGAGGAGGGGGGTGGTGACCATTCCTCGGGCCTGCATCGCGTTAGGGCTGGAGGATGCCCGTACCCCCACTTCCTCTCACCCCATGCTTCCGTCTGTGTGCAGTGCTTATCCTGATCGGCGTGGGACTGGAGGTGTCCCCCTCTCCAGGTGAGCTGCCTATCCTACGACCTGCACAGCGGGGCCGACACTCGCCTCTTGACCCTGTGCGTCCTAGACACCCTTTACCTTCTGGAACGGGTGGGGGCGGGCAGTCACCTCCTTCAACCCCTCCCAGACTCCCTGGCTGTACCCAGACCCTCCCCTTCCTCCCGCAGGTGTCTCCAGCGCCATCTTTTTCGTGCCCGGCTTCCTGTTGTTGGTCCCTGGAGGTGCGGGCGGGCGGGGCGAGGAGTTGAGGCGGGGCCCCGAGGAGAGGGGCGGGAGCGAGTCAGGGAGGAAATTGGCTGGTGGGCGCGGCTAAGAGGAGGGGCGGGAGCGAATCAGGGAGGAAGGGGTATGGTGGGCGGGGCCCTGAGGGGAGGGGCGGGAGCGAGTCAGGGAGGAAATTGGCTGGTGGGCGCGGCTAAGAAGAGGGGCGGGAGCAAATCAAGGAGGAAGGGGCATGGTGGGAGGGGCCCTGAGGGGCGGGAACGAGCAGGGAAGAAATTGGCTGGTGGGCGTGGCTAAGGGGAGGGGCGGGAGCGAGTCAGGGAAGAAATTGGCTGGTGGGCGCGGCTAAGAGAAGGGGCGGGAGCGAGTCTGGGAGGAAGGTGTCTGGTGGACGGGGCTAGAAGAGGGGCGGGGCCCTGAGGAGCGGGAGCGAGGGGGGGAACATTGGCTGGTGGGAGTGGCTAAGGGGAGGGGAGGGGCCTTGAGGGGCGGGAGCGAGTCAGGAAGGGGCCTGGTGGGCGGGGCGGAGAAGGGGGGAGGCGGGAGCGAGTCAGGAAGGGGCCTGTGGGAGGGGGTGGGACATGGTGGGCGGGGCCTCGCCACTGACTGTCTACACGCTCCACCCCCCCAGTCTACCACGTGATCTTCATCTGCTGCGCCTTGAAAGGCCACGGCGGCTTCCACTTTTTCTACCTGCCCTACTTCGAGAAGTGAGCGTCGCCAGGCCAGGGCGTCAGTGGGGGCGACCCCCGCCTGCCCTCGTCCGTCAGGACACCCTTTGGACTCTCATCTCACAAGACGGCCCCAGGCCTCTCGGGAGTTTGCTTAGGAAGTTGGGGATGTGTGGGTCTGGTTCCCCACTAGGCCCGAAACAGTGCCCTACCCCTATTCTGTGCCTTAACTTATTCCCAGACCTAGGGGCTACTCGGTCGGTGTTACTATGTGTTAATAAAGGAGTGGTTGATTGTAGCCACTGTGCCTCCTTCTCTGCTGTGCTCCCTCAACCCTCCACGCAGGGGCCACAGTCCCCTCCCAAAAGGACCCCACTCAGGATTGACCATGCGACTGCGAACCACCCATTGTGCAACAGAGAGACGCTCTGAGAAGGCGCCATGGTTAAAGCACTCGTCTGCTCGCCATAAAGATCAGAAGATGGAACCCACTGTCTGCACCTTCAGAGAAAGATGGGGCATAAACTCCGGTAAAGATTCAGTCTTGGAAGCTCAACGTGACAACTCTGTTCTGTCCTGGTTTGCTGAGTCAGAATTGATTCAGTGGTGGTAGGTTTTGGGGATGACCTAAGACTTGTTCCAGGTCACTTATTACAGGGACAGAGCTGGACCCCATCTGTGCCCAGAAAGGCAACACTGTCACCTGCTCTGGGGTCCCTGACCAGGGTCACTCAGGGATGGCGCAGGCGGCCTGGAGGCTGGTACCTGGTTCCAGCCTGGCCCTGTGACCCTGAATATGGGCCAGAACAAGGCCAGGCGTCTGATCCACTTCTGGGAGTTGGAGGAGGAGCCGAAAAGCTGGGAGCTTGGGAAGCAAGGCCTGTGTGTCAGGAACTATGAGCAAGGAATCCTAGAGTCTTTGTTAGAAGCAAATCTTGGAATCTTTGGACATTAGAGGCTCTCTTATTTCAAGAACACACAGCTGTGAGGATCCGGAAACCTAAGAGCCTAACAGTTGTCATTCCTGATGTTTTTCTAAGGCACCAGATACTGTGTCAGGCTCTGAAGCCTGTAATCTCCATTACCTCAAGCCCATTTTACAGATGAGGAAACTGAGGCCCAGAGAAACCATGGCAGCCCTGGGTCACAAGAGCCAATGGCTAGCTGAACAAGCGTGAGCTGCCAGGATCTTGTTGATGCTGATGTGTTCCTCTGCCCCACTGGAAGATGAGGCCACCAGGAAAGCCAGTCTTCATCTATCACCCTGTCATCCATGTTGTTATCATACTGGAAGCCACGTCCCAGTACCAGTGCTGTCATCCATGGGCAGCCTGGGGAGAAAAGCTTAGCAATCTGCTTCCAAAAATTAGCCAACTGATTCTTCCTGGAATTGGCCTAGTGGGTAAAGAGTTACATCGCCAGCCCTAAGGCACATGATTTGAATCCACCAGCTGCATCAAGACAAAAAGATGAGCAATCTCCTAGGGGAACTCTTATAGCTTAGTGGTAAGGCGCTGGGCTGCCATCCCAAAGGCATGTGGTTTGCATCAACCAGCTACTCCATCTGAGAAAAACAGGCAATCCCCTCCTGTGTGATTAAACTGCCTCTGAAAACACCCCTACAAAACAAAAATTAGCCAACTGAAACGACATGTAAGATGCGATGGTTGGCCTCTTTGTGCAACTATTAGGAAACAAAGCAAAAAGACATAGAAATGATTAGCCCGGAAGACAGATGGACCACATCAACCTAACTCCCGGAACTAACTAGAAGAACTAGATGGTGCTCAGCTGACCACTCATTTACTCCTTCTCTCAAATCACTGGCGGCAGCAGCAGACCCAGGGACTCTAAGGAGCGTGAAGACAGCACAGGCCAGGCATCTCTGCCTCGTGGTCATGGAGTGGTCATGGGTTGGAACGGACTCAGTGACAGCCAACAACAGTCAGCAAGAGCCTCACAGGCCTGGCTTCTCCCGTGTCCAGTGCCTTCAGGGTGCTGTCTCTGTTTCAAATGGAAAGGTCCCTAGACTCCTGTTCCTTCTGCTCTCCACCACCCGCACCAGAGCATCCTCCGTCAGGGCACCTCAACTACATGGAGGGGAGTTCTCAAGCTACCTTTGGTAAAGGAACAGTTTCATTGCTAATCCATAATAGCCCATACTTTCATAAAGTAAAATAAAAAGAAAATCATAATTCAAAAAAGTTATAGAGAATGTTTCTGTTGTTGTTATGTGCCATCTCTTCACCTGCGACTCATAGCAACCACATGTACAACAGCCTTAAGCCCTGCTCTATCCTATGCCAATCTTGCTGTCTGACACACCTACCCCATTATCCCAGTTACAGAATCAATCCATCTCATCCAGGGTTTTCCTTTCTTGCACTGTCCCTCCACCTTCCCAAGCATGCCATCCGTCTGACTGGTCGTGCTTTGCAACATGTCAAAAATGTGTCAGACGAAGCTTCAGTATCCTTGCCTCCAAGGAGCAGTCTGGTCTCTCTTTCTCTAGGAGAAAACTGTCTCCTAGCAGTCCATGGTATATTCAACACTCTTCTCCAGCACCACAGCTCAAAGGCATCAATTCTCTTTCTATCATCCCTAGTCATTGTCCAGCTTTCTGACACATAGCAAGTAATTGCAAAGACTATGGTCTGGATCAGGCACACCTTAGTCTCTAGACTGACATTGTTGCTCTTCAGTACTTTGGAGCGGTCTCTGACAGCCAACTTTCCCAGTACAATTTTTTTTTTGGTCCCAAGAAATGAACAGGCCTTTATTGCATGGTCTGAGAGGGACGCCAAGTGACCTGGCAGGCCACACAGCACGCGGACAGGATCGAAATTCCCAGTACAATTTGTCTTTTAATTTTCTGGCTGCTGGTACCAAAGGAGTTGATTGTGGAGCCAAGCAAACAAAAGCTGTTAACAATCTCGTTTTTATAATTTCAGTTTTTTAAAGGGTGTCGGGTTTTCTTGCTGTTCTTTTTCAATTTGTTGGAGATATTGGGTTAGAGAGTCAATAGTCTGTTTTTCCTGTCTTTTGATGTGTTTGCTTATTGCTATAAGTTGACCTCTGATTACTGCTTTGGCTGACTCCCAGACGTTTTGGCAAGTGATGTTTTCATTGTCATTAGTTTCAAGAAACTTTTTAATTTCATTTTTTATTTCTTCTACTACCCAGTCATGTTCAAGCAAGGTGTTGTTCAGCTTCCAAATGTATGGGTTTTTTTCTCCTTTATCATCCTATTATTAATTTCTAATTTTGTGGCATTATGGTCTGACAAGATGGTTTGTATTATTTCTACATTTTTGAATCTACTGATGCTTGCCTTGTGACCTAGAATGTGATCTATTCTAGAGAATGTTCCATGCACTTTGGAGAAGAAGGTATACTGTGCTTTTTTGGGGTGCATTAGTCTATAGATATCTATGAGGTCAAGTTGGTTTATTGTATGATTTAATTCTTCAGTATCTCTGTTGAGTTTTTTTCTGGTAGAGCTGTTAATCTCTTCACACACTCATATTTTATTAATCAGACATAAAATAACATCCCAATAAACAGATAGAGGGAAAAGAGTTGCAAAAACCATTAAAAGTGAACTGATAGGATAATTAAGGGGGAGTTGACCCAAGAGGAAGTTAATACATGAGCTGATACAACTTCCCACACACCGAGCTAAACCGAAAGCTGTTCCGGAAGTGGTGGGTCTTCTCTTCATTAGGCCTCTATCAGAGTAAACTAACCACAAGCCAAACAGGGCCCAGAAATAAGCATGAGTTTTACATTTTTAATTTACTGGAGGCGAGAAACGTTAAAGAGTAGTAATATTTTGTGACTCACAAAACCCACAAACAAGTCAAACTTCAGCAGCTCTCAGTGGTGGTTCCTGGAACACAGTCCCATCTGTGTGGCCTGAAGCCACTTTGCTCCACAACTACAGAACCAAGTGGCTGCAACAGAGACTGGGGGGCCCTCAAAAACCAAATGATTTCTCATCCATTCCTTTGCAGAAGAATTTTGCTGGCCCTTATTCCAGTCCTCCCCCTTGTACATGCAAATAAATGCACTGAAGGACTACTGTGAATAGCAGTGTTTAGGTATTCATTTTACCAAAGAGTTTGCTTTTGCTTTATCTAATCTGGGTGGGCTGACAACAACACAATGCAGAGAGAATAATGAATAATAAATAATCTTGAGTAAACTCTCAGTCTACCAAGCAAAGGGAGCTCTGGGGGCCTAATAGGTAAGGAGTTATACTGCCAACCCAAAGGCTGGTAGGGGAATCCACCAGAAAGATGGACAATCTCCTCTCATGTGATTTACAGCCTCAGAAAAACTACTGGAGGGTCAGCTATGGGTCAGTTCTGACTTGGCAGCAATGAGAAAGAGAGAGAGAGATCGATCTCATTGGGAGGAGATTGCCTGTATTTCCCATGCAAAGCGGCTGGTGGATTCAAACAGACAAACTTTCAGCTAGCAGTTCAAGTCTATAAGCACTATGCCACTGGGGCTCCGTTAAAAAGTGTATACAGACTAGAAACTTTCCTTGTTGTGGTTAAGTTTTGTTGAGTCGATTCGAACTCAGTGACTCTGCACAACACTACAAAACACCACACAGTACTGCCCCTCCTCACCATGACTGCTCCCCATACCCGTGACCGTGACCATGACCGTGAGCCTAACACTGCTCAGTGCTGCAATCACTGCTCCCCTGGCCCTAACACCACCCAGGGCTGACCCCCCACAACATACTATGGTGGGTGAAGTGAAGGGTCCTAGAAGGAAGGAAGATCTCCCAAAGGATGCATACAGGAGAGGGCAAGGGTCAGATCCGATGTTTACTGGGTCGCTATTAGTTGTAGTCAGCTCAGTGGTGCCTAGTTTTTCCATACTGATGGGCCACGAGCACCCTATTAGCACAGGAGCGCTTGCTGCAGGTCAAGGACTGTGGTCTTCAATATAAATTGAAGCTCAACATCAAGAAGACAAAGATTCTCTCACCACTGGGCCAAGTGGCAGCATGAAGATGGATGGAGACGAGATTGAGGCTGTTAACAATTTTAGCTTGCTTACATCCACAACCAACACTCTTGGCATTAGCAGCAAGAAATTTTAAAATAATAATGATAATTGCTTAATAATAATTGCTCTGGGGAAAGCTGCTGTCAGGGACCTCTCCAAAGTACAAAAGAACAATGGTGGCTCTCTGGGTTTGGTGCCAGCTTGTGGCAAAATGCACCAAGAAAGTCAAGATCGTCGGTAAATACAGGACCTGTTATGGTGCCTCTTCAGAAAGATGAAGAAAAGTGAAATCACCCAGCGTGCCAAGTACGCTTGCTCCTTCTGTGGGAAAACCAAAACGAGAGAGGAGTGAGGATCTGGCACTGTGGTTCTTGCATGAAGACATAGCTTGTGGTGCCAGACCTACACCACAATCTCCACAATCACAGTGATGGCTGCCATCAGAAGATGGAAGGAACTGAAAAATCAGGAGAAGCTCTCCATTTCAAGCACCTTTAGTCTAAAATAAATGGGTTAATTTATGTTAAAAATTAAAAAGAGCAATGATGTCAGTCTGGAGACTAAGGTGCATCTGCCTCAAGTCATGGTCTTTGTAATTAATTGCTATGCATCAAAGAGCTGGACAGAAGAACTAAGGCATCTGAGTTGTGGTGCTGAACAACAGTGTTGAACATACCATGGACTGCCAAAATAACAAGTTTATCCTGGGGAGGGTGAAACCAGGTTGCTTCTTGGGAGCAAGGATTTTGAAGCTCCATCTCACATATTTTGGGTACATGGCCAGGAGGGACCAGTCTCTGGAGAAGGACATTATGCTTGGAAGGGTGGAGGGACAGCACTGGAGAGAAAGACCCTACATGAGATGGATCAACACAGTAACTGGGGTTATGGGGTGGCTTTGTTGGTGACAGTGAGACTGCCTCAAGATAGGGCAGAGTTCAGAACTACTGTACATAGAGTCACTATGAGTCACAAGTGACTCAACTGCATATACATAACACCACCACCATCACCAATCACTGTGGGGAATCACAAAGACTAGGGCTAGAAGGATTAGATGAAGCAATTCCACACACACCACACTCCCTTGCTTTCTCATTCCCAACTCCTTTCATCTACCTGGTACACAAACATGACCACTCCTGAGCCCTGGACTCTCAATATCCAGTGACAGCTGGATGCCACCTCCAGATTTCCTTTGAGGGAAAGAAACTTGTGTCTAATACATGACCTTGTTATCAGGGAACTCTGTTACCTACAGGAAACTGAATCACAATACTGATATTTAACTTTTAAGAATCTGAGACTTTTTTTTTAAATCTGAGACTTTTAACCAAATTAGCTGATTTTTAAAAAGGATTGTTTCTACCTTCTATCTTAAGGTTTTCCATTTACTTTGCTCTTTCCCCTTTTCCTATTATCTTCCTCTATTTGACTATCAGTGGAACATTTCCTTCTTGTTATATTAATAGTTACCCTTACATGGTTAAAGAAACACTGGTGGTATAGTGTGTTATGTGTTGTGCTTCTAACCAGAAGGTCAGAGGTTCAAATCACCCATTCTACAAGCATGGAGGGTATTTCCTTGTTCTTAAGTGGTTAAGGAGTCCTGGTGGTACAGTGGTTAAGCACTTGACTGATAAGAGGAAGGTTAGTGGTTGGAACTCACCAGCCGTTCCTTAGGATGAAAGCTTGCTTCTGTAAAGTTACAGCCTTGACCCGCAGAGACATTCTACCCTGTCCTGGAGGGTTACTCTGAGTCAGAACCCACCAGACAACAGTGGGGTCAGGTGGTTAATCAAGTCTAAAGTTCATCATTAGATCCTTTAGAGCAACAATAAAAAGAATTTCAGCATACCTACAGAATCTTTCCCGTCTCCTGCTTCACTTTTGCCTGCCTCTTATTTTAGTCTGTCATTTTGTCGTACTGCGTTTTATGTTGTTGTGATGCAGAAGCGATGCCGTGAATATTCCAAACACTGTCATTGTCACCCAGCATAGACAGACTTCTGGACTACGAAAGACTTGGAGAAAGGACCTTCTTAAAAACTGGCCACTGGAAGTGCTCATTCATTTATCCTAAAACAATTGGCAGACAGCTTGCCAAATGTATGGAAGGCATACATATTTGTACTCATTTTTTTTAAAAAAAGTCATCCAACAAAATATGAAAGTTATCACTAATATCATGCACAAGAGAAACTTTGCAGCAGATAACTCAAAAACAGTTGCAGTAATGCGTCCACAGTGAACCAACCACCAGAAAGCCAGGCCAGATTCAGAGCAGCACACAGCGTGCAAGGTCACTGCTGAGGTCGGACAGACCTGGGGGAAAGCAGAGAATATCAGAAAAGTGTTCACATTTGTTTTATTGACCATGCAAATACATTCTACTTTGTGGACCATTACAGATTAAGATAATTAAGGGTAACATTGCAAAGCCTGTGCTCATACAGACACAGACCTAGATCAAGAGCTACTCACTCCGACAGAAGAAGGGGTCAGAAGCAGGAAAAGTGTCAGGCTGTGCCCTTTCACCATATTCACTCAGTGTGTATAATGAGCACATGATCCGTTAAACTGGTCAATATGAGGATGGAAAGAAGCAAAAGGATTCGTGGGAGACACATCAGCAAACTTTAATGTGCAGATGGCACTATCTTGTTCGCTGGAAGCAAAGATTTGAAGTACTTACTGATGACAATCCAAGACTAGTCTCCAGTAGGGATTACACACTTCAGCATAAAGAAAACGAAAATATTCACAACTGAACCAATCAATAATCAATATCATGATGTATGAGAAAAATATTGACATCAATCATTTTACTTTACATGGATCCACAATCAACACAGAAGCAGCAGTCAGGAACTCAAGCCAAGTACTGCTGCTAGGGGACCTCTTTAAAATGTTAAAAAGTAGGGATGTCACTTTGAGGACTAAGGTGTGCCTGACCCAAGTCATGGCATTTCCAATTGCCTCTTATGCATGTGAAAACTGTACAATGAGTAAGGAAGAATTGATTTTTTTTAATTACAGCACTGACAGGGTTATCTAACGGACTTCCAGAACAGCAAACAAATCTTTCTTGGAAGAAGTCCAACTAGAATTCTCCTTCGAAAGACTTGGCAAGACTTCCTGAACATGTTATCAGAAAGGACCAGTTCCTGGAGAAACATCATACTTGTTAACACAGAATTTAAAAAAAAAAAAATAGGACGAGTCTCAATGAGATGGATCAATGTAGTACAACAATGGGCTCAAACAAAAGACGCCGCGTAGGGTGTACAGGGTCAGACAAGGGTTTGTTCAGTCATACACAGGGTTATTGTAGGAAATGAACTGACAGCACCTAACGACGATTTTAGTCTCGTCTAGCTCTTAAAATCCTCTGAATTAATTACTTTAGTAAATCCTTCCTTCCTCTACCACTGTTTACCAATTTCTTTCTTTACTTATTTCTCAGATTCTTTGCCTTCCTCCTAGATTACGATTCCATTCCTTTGACAAGGATGTCAATGGAATGGTTTTTCATCATCATCTTTTAATAATGTCTTCTTGATGGACAAGTCTTTTTTTCATATGAATTTTCACCAATATATTTCATCACTTCTGGCATCTACTGTTGCCAATGAAGAAATTTTGGCAAGTCTAATTGTTGTTTCTTTACAAGTATTCTTTCTCCTCATACGTTAAATTTTTTTCTTGTATTCTGTAGTTGCACTGGCATGAGTCTAAGAATAAACTTTTCTTTTTCTGATTTGGTTTCTGATATGGTTTCAATAAATCTGAGGACTTAAGTCTATATTTAATTATGGAAAATTCTCACCATCGTCTCTTTTAATATTACCACATGTCCATATTTTCTCTTTCCGAGATGCCTAATAAGTTCTAACTTTTCCGTATTTTTCAGGTTTTATCTATCAGTGCTTCATTTGGCTGATTTCTGTGCTATAAGCTCCATGTTCATTTAGTTTCTCCTCAACTGTGTCTAAACTGCTGTTTTATGTCCTCATTTCTTTTCCATTGTCTTGGCTGTAGCTCTTTGTTTCTAGAAGTTCTCTTTGACTCTTTTACAGTGTTTCTGTTCTTTTTCCATGCTGTCCTGTTATCACACATCCACCTCTCTTCGTTTATCTTCGCAATGCGAATTCTTGTTTCTTCATTTTCTAAGTATTCTTTTTGGTAGTATATTTCCTTTCATGATTTCAAAATTTTTATCATGAATTTATCTTCAGAAGTGCTTAATGTCCTTGGTTAAAAAAGTTCCGCTTCCTTCTTAGTTTTCCAATTTCTTCAGCTATTTACACCATAGAGGCCAACTACTTGGCTGCATGGTATCTCAACTTCTTCCTCCCTAGGGCCCTGGTCGTCTCTACAAACTTCCTTGCCACTTTCTAGGCTGGTACGTGGAGTATGTCATGGCCTCTTGAAGAAGCACACGTGGTGCGCTGGATTAAGCACTGGGCTGTCAGTGGTTCTAATGCACTGGCTGCTCCACTGGAGAAAGACGAGGCACTCTGCTTCTGTAAAAATTAAGTCTTGGGTGCCCTTCAGGGCAGTTCTACTCTGTCCTATAGGATGGCTATGATTTTTTTTTATTATTATTTGTGCGTGTGTGCCGTCAAAAAGGATCTGACTGGAACAGGAGGAGACTGGACTACGATTTCTTAAAGTCACAAAATTGTGGTATTTCCAGAGAACTGGGGACACTGGGGAATGATAGAGGTGTTTGAAGACCAGGTCCCTCCAGGCAGTTCGAATTAAGGGTAAGTGAGAGCAGTGAACTCACTCACGAGCAGATGCCTTGACCAGCAGCGGTCTTGCAGCAGATGCAGCGGAGCACGCTCAGGGACATCCAGCCCTTCTGTCCAGTGGGGGATTGACAGCCTCTGGGAGGCGCATGCGCCCTGGAATCGCTCTGGGTCCGCAGCTGGCTCCGCCTCCCGGAGCGTCAGGGGACGGAGAGCATCATCACAAACTCTACGGAGAGGGCGCTTGCGTCAGGGGCGGGGCTTGTGTCAAGGGCGGGATCTGCGTCGGGGCGGGGCCTCGCGTCGGGGGCGGGACCTTGAGTCGGGGGCGGGGTCTGCTCCTCCCCTTCCCCGTGCAGTTTCGTAGGCACCAGGCTTTCTCCTCCGCACGGAGACCCATACCTGGGGTGCGGAGACTCACCGTCAAAGTCCACGGTGCCGTCCCCATTGAGATCCACCTCGCGGAGCATCTCGTCCAGCTCAGACCCCTCCAGCGGCTCACCCAGCAGTGCAGGTGCTGCTTCCCGCAGCTCCGCCACCGTGATCCGTCCATCTCGGTCCCTGTCGAACTGGGGTCCCGGAAGGATTCAGCAGTTCTCCAAAAGGGGCCTCTGCCTGCACCCATCTGCTCGAGCCACTTCGGCCCGCATGCCCCTGTCTTAGCCCATCCTAGTCTTCCCCTCCCTCCCAGGCTGAAACAGGACCTCCCCTCCTCCAGGAAGTCTTCCTGAATCTCCAGCAACCTGGGGTCCTGTCCAGTCCAACCCCCTCCCGGGAATACCTGGCCTCAGTGAGAAGCCAGTTAGGACACTGACCCCACCCCACCCACCTGCCCCAGCCCCACCTCTCGGAAGGCAACGAGCAGCTCCCGCACCCCCAACATGTGCGCCGTCTCCTCCCGCAGCTTCGGGCCCATCATTTCCACGAACTCCTCGAAGTCCACGCGGCCACCCACTGTGGACCCAAACAGGGAGTCACAATGGTGAGGGCTGGGGCCCAGAGCGAGAGTTCTAGGGCAAGTGTGTCCTGATTTCACACCTGGGAAGGGACACTGGAGGCCAGGCTCTGGGGGGCAGAGGACAGATGGGGCCAGGGCTGCCTCTCTTTTCAAGGGAGGGAGAGAAAGAACACCAGGCCAGAAAGCCCCTAGTTCAAGACCAGGCTCTGCTGTTGACCATACATGACCTCGAGTGACTTTCCCAGTCCTCTCTCCCTGGCCTGGGTGAAGCTAAGGGAGCCCACTTCTCAGTCAGGATCAGAGCTCACGGACAGGAAAACACTGGCGCTCATTCAATCAGTTCCTTAGCATCAGCCCAGTGTGCCAAGTGGAGCAGTGCTCCGCAAGATATCCAGTGATGGGTTTTCAGAAACAAATGGCCAAACCTTTTTCCTAAGGCTGTGAACTTGCACCTCCAGCTTCTACCTTAACCAGCTATAGCACCCAGACATTCCTGGAGTGCATGAGCCCAACTGAACCCTACTTCTGTCCAGTCATTTCTTAACCTCCACTGAGTTTGTGAGGCTGTGAATTTTTATGGAGGGAAACTGCCACATCTTTATCTCAAAGGGTGGATTTGAACTGCCAACCTGTCAGTTAGTAGTCTGACACATCATGCACTACACCACCAGGAGGCCATTCAACTCAATAGACTCTACTCTTTGAGTATGAACTGACTCATAGCTCACCCTCCAGCCGGTTCTCAGAGCTTTAAATTCCACAAGAAGAGATTGCCTGTATTTCTCCCTCCAAGCAGCTAGAGGATTCAACTGCCTACCTTTGGGTTGGCAGCACAATTCTTCACGGCTAGGCCACTGGAGTCCCTAGGAGGGCCAGTAGGCTATGGTAAATGTCTCTGAAAAATCACCCTGCAGTCCCTCAGTCCTTAGAGGCCATCATTAGCACCAGTGGCCACTTCACGTCAATTCTGGAAAGCAGTGCTGTGCCTTGTTCAGGTCAGTGGTTAAGTCATGTCAGTTTTGGAAAAGAAAGAAGAAATAGAGGAGTCCCAGGACCCAGGAATAGGATCTTTGTCTGGAGGGAAATTGGCACAAGAATCACACAATGAATCCCAGAGGCGCACGGTTCGAATCCACCAGATGCTCTGCCGGGGAAGGAGGGACAATTTCCTCCTATACCAGTCCGATCTGATTTGACAGTACACTCACACAAAAATAATAAAAGTAAAATAAAAAAAAGAATCACACAATGGCCCGTTGGACATCTAGTCCCGACCAGCCCTGGGGCCCTCTCACCAGGTCCATCCTGCCCTGGGGCTCCCCTCTACTTCTACATCACCCCTGGTGTGGGTTAGTGGGAACTCCAGAGATGAGGCTCACAGACCCGCCCCCCCCCCCAGGAAAGGCCTTTCCTCCTCCCAAACCAAACTCACTGAGGTCAATTCTGACTCACAGTGACCCTCCATGGGTGTCTTGGACTGGAAATCTTTATGGGAGGGACTGGTCGTCTTTCTCCCAAAGGCTGCCTGGTGGACTCGATCTGCCAGCCTTTCGGTTACTCTACCAGGTCACTTTCTTCTTTATCTCAGGACAACCCTAATTCAGGCATCACCCACAGCCTCCTCCAAGAGACCCATGGGCAAGGCCACAGAGGAGCTGGGGGAGAGAGACAGGCATCTGGTTCCAGCCTGGAGAGGACTTTGTAAGGAGTCCAGTGCCTGGGCCAGGGCAGCAGGAAGGGGACATGGAAGGCTGCAAACAGGCAGGACCCCTAGCCCTGAGGCCCTTCCGGGTTTACATGGGTGCCTTCCTTGCCCCCTTGATACACCAGAAGTGGAAGCTTGGATGCTGGTAGCTCCTGGGAACTGTCACCTCCCTCACCCCCCCATGGCAGATCTCAGAGGCAACCCCCACCCCTGACTGCTCCCTAGAACCTAGAAACATGGGGAGAACTGGGAGGACTACAGGGGACCCCACACTGACTCCGCATCTTGACGTGCTGTGAGACTTCTATGAGCTCCATCTCCGTGGGCATGTATCCCAGTGTCCGCATGCAGGCACCCAGGTCCCTGTAGCCGATGTAGCCGTCTTGGTCCGTGTCGAACTCCTCAAAGGCCGCCTGAAGCTCTGCCAGGCGTGGGAGAGGTCAGGTCCAGCCCACTAGGTCCAGGACCCTGGACACTGCTTTGTCTCCCCACGCACAGCCCCTGCAGCAGACACTCACCATCCAGCTCCTCGGGGCCCAGCTCGCGTTCCTGCAGGTGGATAGCCAGCGTGTCTTCAGTCCCCTCAGCTCCATCCCCACCCCGTCCTTCCCTTCAGTCACTTCCTGGCCACTGTCCACGGTTGCCTTGGAAAAGTCCGTGGGCAGGGCCAGCCCACAACATTGAGGTGGGAGTGTGGATGCATGGGGGGGTGGGAGCACAAGAGCACAGGGCCCCCCCGTTCCTGTCCACACAGGCCTGGGGTTCTAGCTCAGTCTGGCTGAGACGTAAACCAGCCAAAACCAAATGCAGCGCGGCCAAGTCAATGCCGACTCTCAGGGTCTGTCCGTGAAGGATGGAGAACTGTTCCTTGGTTGCCAAGTCTGCCACGTTTACTGCCTCTTCCTCCTTGTGGACTCAAGCCACTGACCGTTTGGCTAGTAGCCTAGTGCTTTCCTACTGTGCCACCATCAAGGCTCCTGAGAAATGGGGACAACCAGGGCCAAGCCCAAGGACACCCGTCCCCTCCGGCCCAGACCCCGAGAGCCTCCTCACCTTCCCGAAGACTCGGTTGAGCAGAGGCCCGTACGTCTTCTGGGCAGCTTCCTGCTGGGGGTCAGGTCGGTGCCGGTGGGACTGACGACGAGAAGGTGGGGTCTTGGAGGCTGTGGGGGGCAGTGCCTCCTGCCCCTCTACTGGCCTTGGGGCCACCTTGCTACTGTCTGGGGCCTCAAATCCCTGGGCTGAGGCCTGCTCCTGAGAGCCACCAGAGTTCTTGTGGGACCCGTGGCGGCCCTTCTGGGACCCGTGGCGGCCCTTCTCCTTTTTGCTCTTCTTCCGGGTCAAGGAAGGGCCTTCATCCCCACCCTTGGGAACCTCAGCTGAGTCTGAGCCCAGACGGCCCCTTGCCTGCTCTGTGGCCATGTGAGGAAGGCAGCCGGGCTCCAAGATGTGGCCCAAGAAGCACTCTCAGCTCTGGATCCACAAAGCTGCTTATGCCCCCCCCCCCCAACTCTGGGAGCCAAAGGCCTGCACAGGGCCCTGAGGGGGATTAAGGTAAGTGAGGCAGGCAGCCCAGGCCCTAATCCTGGCTCTGCAGTGGGGGTGGCCAGGACCCCTGGCAGGTAGGTCCGAGGGCTGAGAGCTGTGCAGTTAGCAGCGGGGTGTGTGTGTACAATCAGCCTTAAACCCCAGCTCCGACATTATTAGCTGGGAGCTAACCAGCTACAGTCTAACCTCTCTAAGCCTCTATCCCTCATCTATAAAATGGAGAGAATGTTCTGGAAGAGTTTGGCTGCTCCTTGGGAAGCGGGCAGGGCCTTCCTGTAGAGAGAACCACTCACTCCTAAGACAGGAGGAAGAATGTGGCCGAGGTGGAGGAATGGAGTCAGTTGCACACTGCGACGCCCCCATGGGGTAACATCTTGGCTGGAGCAGGACAGAGAAAAACCTAGAATGTTGGATTCTGACTCATGCCCACCCCGTTCAGAGCAGAGCTGAGCCCAGTGAGGTCTTCAATGGCTGTGAAGTAGAACACAGCATTTCTCTTGCCTTGCACCCATGTGGTCTTGAACCACTAACCTTTTGGCTGGTAGCTGAGCTCCATTTGTACCACCAGGGACTTAGCTGGAATGGAGAGGCTGTCAGGCTGAGACATGCTCGCTCACAGCAGCCGGTGTGCAGGTGGAGGTGCACGGCGTGAGGTTCTAGCAGAAGGCCCTTGGGGCCCCAGAGTCAGGGGTGGGGGCTGGCTGGTCACTTGGCCCTACTGGGCCGGGGTTAGGGTTTCCCAGAGAGCGGCCCCATGAATGATTGATGTCCTGCCGGCTTGGGTTTCGTGCCCGCCCACCTTAGTTAGCCCTGCCGTGCGCCATGCACCAGGCCCCGGTGTGGGGCCATGCGGACAGCCGGACCACTGCGCAGGCAGGTCTACCTGTCTCACTTCTTCCAGCCAGCGGCCTGCACTCACAGGTAAGCTGAGCCTCCCTGCTCAGAGTCTGGGTCCTACAGCTTGGATTCTGCAGCAACTGGAACTGTCAGAGTGGGGTTGGCCCAAGGGAGAGTCTTGGGGGCCTGGACCGACCTCAGAGGACAAAATACACACCCTTGCTTTTTCAGCAACTCCCTGCAGGCCTGTCCCCTCAGAGGGTACAGAGGTGGGGGTGGGAGTTCCAGGCCTGGTACCTCCTAGCCTCTTTCACCCACGTCTTGCTGCCAAATGCTTGCCTCTTTAAAGTCATCCCCACCTTAAGGAGGAACGAGAGGGCCACAAGAAGTGTGGGGCTCACCCTGAATCCATGACTTGCACTTGTTGCAGGGGAGGGATCTGCTGGGGCTGCAGACTCCCTGTCCACCCCACACCTCTATGAACTCATATGACCCCTGAACCTTTTCCCTGGAATCCTTTGAACTCCAGGATACAAAAAAGGAGGTTCAAAAAAAAAGAGGATACAAAAAGGGAGGTTCACAACGAGCCAGCTCTACATCTCCGAACTGAACCCCCTTCTCTGGTCTGAACACTCTCAGACGCAAAGGAGTTTTGCTCTAACACCTTCTTTTCAACAAAAGACTCAGCACCTTTAAAAACATTTGAAGGGAAAAAAATTTAAAACAAACAACAAAACAAAAAAACCCAAAACATGTGAAGGCCTCGGGGGAGTCTGGTGGGGCCTCCTGGGTTCCATGCTGTAAATGACCCAGTCTGGGTTGCCTGGCATCTCCCTTCCTGCCCATGACCTTGGACAGCTCACTTCCCCTCTTCACCTGCAAAATGAGGTGCCTAGTTCGGGGGCCTAGTTCAAATCTGTTGTAGTTCCTAGGTGCCATGAAGCCTGTTTCAACTTACAATGACCCAACAAAACATCGTCTTGTAGTTGCTCCGTTAACTCCACAATCATTGCTGTGTCCCAGCCTATTGTGTTAGTGACAGTGTCTCCCGGAGGGTCTTGTTCACTGACCTTCCACTTTTCCACGCATGAAGTCCTTCTCCAGGGCCTGATTACTCCTGATACCACACCCAGAGGCTGTCACACCCAGTCTCACCACCCTTGCTTCCAAGGAACATTCTGACCATTCTTCCAAGACAGATTTATATCCTCTTCTGGCACTTTGTGTTACACTCTGTTCTTTGGCAACAGCACCATTTAAGGCATCAATTCTTGGTCTTCCTTGTTCATTGTTTGTCATGCTTGGAAAAGTGGGAAGTCAGTGAGGGAGAGTAAGACCCTCACTCGGATGGATTGACATCATTACTGCAGCCAGGGGTCCAAGTACAGCAGAGATTGTGAGAATAGCACACAACCTGGCAGGGTGTCATGCTGTTGTTCGTAGGACTGCTATGAGTTGGAGTCAACTAGATGGCACCTAACGACAGCTTTCACAGACATACAAAGTAATTGAAAATACCAGGGCTAAGGTCAGGTGCACCTTAGTCTTCAAAATTATATCCTTGCTCTCTAAACTTTAAAGAGGTTCTTGGCAGCAGGTTTCCAGTCCCAGGCACACACTGATTACCCAGAGTGGAGCAGCAACTTGTCTGCAGACCCTCAGGGCCCTCTCTCTGATAGTCACTCATTCGTCCACTAGCCGCTCACTCCATCATACCCAGCGATTCCCGGGACCGTTGGATGGACACCACCATGGGAGCCAACCTGGGTGCTGCGGGACGAGGCCCCCGCACAGAGCTCGACGACGAGGACTACTACCCCCAAGGTGGCTGGGACACGGTCTTCCTGGTGGTCCTGCTCCTCCTGGGGCTGCCAGCCAACGGCCTGATGGCCTGGCTGGCGGGCTCGCAGGCCCGGCACGGAGCGGGCACGCGGCTGGCACTGCTCCTGCTCAGCCTGGCGCTCTCTGACTTCCTTTTCCTGGCAGCGGCCGTCTTCCAGGTCCTAGAGATCCAGCACGGGGGACACTGGCCGCTGGGGACGGCTGCCTGCCGCTTCTACTACTTCCTGTGGGGCGTGTCCTACTCCTCTGGGCTCTTCGTGCTGGTCGCCCTCAGCCTGGACCGCTGCCTGCTGGCACTGTGTCCCCGCTGGTACCAGGGGCGCCGCCCGGCCCGCCTGCCCCTCTGGGTGTGCGCGGGGGTCTGGGTGCTGGCCACCCTCTTCAGCGTGCCCTGGCTGGTCTTCCCCGAGGCCGCCGTCTGGTGGTACGACCTCGTCATCTGCCTGGACTTCTGGGACAGTGAGGAGCTGCCCCTGAGGATGCTGGAGATCCTGGGGGGCTTCCTGCCCTTCCTGCTGCTGCTCGCCTGCCACGTGCTCACCCAGGCGGTCACCTGCCGGCCCTGCCGCCGCCAGCCCAGACCCCCCGCCCGCCAGGGCTTCGCCCGCGTGGCCAAGACCATCCTGTCGGCCTACGTGGTGCTGCGGCTGCCCTACCAGTTGGCGCAGCTGCTCTACCTGGCCTTCCTGTGGGACATCTACCCCGGCTACCTGCTCTGGGAGGCCCTGGTCTACTCCGACTACCTGATCCTTCTCAACAGCTGCCTCAGCCCCTTCCTCTGCCTGCTGGCCAGCGCTGACCTCCGCGGCCTGCTGCACGCTGTCCTCTCGTCCTTCGCAGCAGCGCTCTGCGAGGAGCGGCCGGCAAGCTTCACCCCCGCTGAGCCACAAGGCCAGGCGGATGCTGAGGGCCAGACACCACCGGAGCCCATGGTGGAGGCTCGGCCACCGCTGGACCCCACAGCCCAGCCACAGGCGAACCCCACGGACCTTCCACAGGCGAATCCCACAGTTCAGCCACAGGAGAACCCCACGGTCCAGCTGCAGGTGAACCCCAAGGCCCAGCCACCAGTGGATTCTGTGACCCAGCCACAAATGAATCTGGAGACCCAGCCAGTTGTGGATTCTATGGCCCAGAGTCAGGCAAACCCCACAGCCCAACCTCCAGTGGCTTCTGTGGCCCAGGCACAAATGAACCCCGAGGCCCAGCCACAGACCAATTCTGAGACCCAAAACCCCGGCCCCACTGCCAGCTCAACCCCCAGCCCCAATGATGAGCCCTCCTCAGCCCCAACCACAGATCCCACCCCCAGTACCCCTGAGGCCTTGGCCACTTCTGCTGTCTCTGAGGGAGAAAGCCCCGGTAATGGCCCCTCTGAGGAGACCCCCAGCACAGGTCCCACGTGAGGTACTCCAGAAAGCTCAGGTCACAGGGCAGTGACGAGAAGAGGGAGCCGGAGTGGAGAGGTAGCATGGAAGGCAGAGGCTGGGCATGGAGCACGGCGGTGGAAAACCCCGCCTGAGTCCCTAGGCCTGGAAGGAGGATTGGGGAAGTGAAGCCAAGGCAGGCAAAAGTCCCAGGGGCCTGGGGTGAGCGCCCCTGTTTGTCCCAGGCCCCTAGGTTCTTCCCTAGTGACTCCCAACAAACTCTTTCCTCCAGTCAACTTCACCCCAGTGAGGTGGCCTGTTGGGTCTGTCCCTCAGTGACAGATTCCCCCTTGTAGAACCCTGAAGCAGGAAGACAGAAGAGGAATTCCCTAGCTTGACCTAGCCTCTGGCCTACCCCCTTCCCTGCCTGTCTGACTGTCCTGCAGTCCCAGCACCAGGAGGCCAGGGAGGAAATCATTCTTTGCTCCAAAGAGGAACCTGGGACCCTAGTGGTCCAGTGAGGCTGGGGTGGGACTTCCCTTCCAAAGTGTCAGGCCGGGGGTGGGGATGGAACTGCCAACCTTGGACTCAAGTCCGGTTCTGCTATGTCCCAGCTGGGCCACTTCTGACAGGCGGTTCGGCCTCTGAGCTTACCCTGTATCTGCAAGTGGGCTGTGTGGGGATTGAAGGCGAGCCTGGGGTCGCCTAGGGCAGTGAACACACAGCCAGGGCTCAGGAAACAGCCCCCTTTCTCGTCATCTGCACAGAGGGTTTCCCTCAGGGCTGGAAAGGGACAGGGACTGGGACGACAGGAGGAGAATCATTGCACCTGAGCATCTGTGATCCTAAGAGCTTCAGAACAAGTGAGGTGCCCATGGTGGACCCTCGGGTGGCCACAGGGGGCACGGGACCACCTCTTTGATTTGGGTAGCGCCACTCCACAGGACTTAAGCATCTGACTCTAGGGCTCAGCTGAGGTCCCCTGCCCCAGGTCCACCACAGCAGGTGCAGGGTGGCACCCTCCCTGCCAGGTCCCTTCTACATGTGCAGTCCAGAGGCCACAGGATAACCCAACACAGACACTATGGAGTTCCAGGGGACCCAGAGGGGCCAAGGCCTCCAGAGGTCACACAGCACCTCTGGGCTGAGCCAGCCTCTTCCTGCTCAAACTGCTGATGCTTGAAACCTGGACGGGCTGAAGGTCCCATCGCACTTCCCCTTCACACCCCCACCCTCTGCTGGCACCTACCCATCCGTTCTCGCAAGCTCCACTGCTCCCATGTCATGCCCCCTTGCCCCTCAACACTCCACTGCCACCACCACCCATCTGGTCAGCTGGGCTTTGCGACCCTCAGCAGCCAAGAGCCTCTCCCCTGCTGATGGCGAGGTCGGGGGCATTCCATGCGCTGCCCTTCACAGCGGGGCGGGCAGCCTGAAACGCTGCTGTCAGGTTTGGGCTCAGGTCTGTCACTCTCTGCGCCTCAGTTTTCTCCTCTGTGAAATGGGCCAGCATTCACCTCACCAGGCTATCTGTTGTGAGCTCCTCCTGGCTGGGAAGCTGCTGGTTGGTGTTTGTCCTGGTACCACTTCCTCATGGTCACGCTGAAGAAGACAGGAGAGGGACCTGGCCACGCAGGAGTTAATCATTCCACAGTTTCACTGTACGCTCCTCCTGTACCTCCCACCACCCTTTCGTTGTGGAGACTAGTGAGTGGATGAGGGGCGCGGCTTCTGATGTCCTTCAGGGTTCTTCTTTTTTTAAAAAAAAAAATCTAAAATATTTATTATTTTTTTGTGTGTACCGTCAAATCAGATCTGACTGGTACAGGAGGAGATTGTCCCTCCTTCTCCAGCAGAGCCTCTGGTGGATTCAAACCGCTCACCTCTGGGATTGCAGGGCAGCCTCTTGCCACTAGGCCACCAGAGCTCACCCATGGTTCTTCTGATGGTGGCTCCATCCCTCACTTCACCAACCTTCAGCAAGTCAGGTGATCTCTTGGTGATTCCGTTTCCTCCTCAGTGAGATTGCTGTTGTTCTTTTGTTGTCAGACGTCATTAGATCGACTCCAGTTGTTCTCTCCTGACAACGTGCTCAGAGACTGTGAGAAGTCGAGGAGCGCGTGCTGGCTGTCCTTCCTCCGCAGTGCACCCCCCCATTTCCAGCTCGTCCCCAGCACCACCGTTCAAATGTGCTGCTGCTTAGTCTTCCTTTCTCACTGTCCAGCTTTCCCATGCATCTGGAAAAAGCCCAGCACACAGAGCCCGTTGCTGAACCCTCTGTTGTCAAGTAGATTACGGCTCCTAGAGGCCTGCAGGACAGAGATAACTGGCCCAGAGGGTGCCAAGGCTGTAATCTTTACAGGAGCAGAGGCCGCCTCTTCCTCCCACGGAAACATGGTCACGCCTAGCCTATCAGCAGCTGTGTGATTAACCGCCGTGCTACCAGGGATGCTGCCATATAAATACGTTCAGTGATTTTTTTATTATACCACTGGCCGCCTCCAGGCTGAACCCCAGGCCTAAGCCAAGGCTTGTCTCCACCTCCACCTCACTGTCTCCTCCTGTCCCCTGCTGGACCCCACGCTCCCTGAGGGCAGAGTCTGGGCACCATGCCCGTGATACTCTGTGTGCTCCCCTAAGTTCTCCCAGGCTGGGACCCCAAAGCCTTCCCAACATGGCAGGCAAGTGAAGGACTCAACCTTCAGTGCCCACTGCCTGCCTTCAGCCCACACACTGAACCTTGGGGAGCAGGCCACCCCACTTCTGCCTCCAAGGTCCCTGAGGGACTCACCCCCATACTGGGTAATGGCTGTGCCGGGCGGGGGTGGGGGAAGCAAGAGCAGAAATCAGAAGAGAAGGCCCCTTCTACAACTGAGGTCAGGAGTGATTCCTTGCTCCAGACACATGGAAACAGTTTGGCTTTGTAAATGCGAGGCTTGGGAAGAGGTCAGGTTAGTTGTTAGTTTCACAAAGTGAGGGAGAAAACCCAAAAGGTTACTTTTGCTGCCGCTAAGATGGGGCGGGGAGGGAGTTGAAAAACTGCTTTATAGCTTGAAACAAAAGGGTATGAAGATAAATGAAGAGGGTGTGAGTCACTTTGCAGTGAACATTGAACCTAATGATTAGTAGAAAAATGTGCAGGGGCATGTAAGGTGTATGTCTGACCATGTAGCTATTTGTATAGTACTTATTATGGGTATTATTGTTGGGGAAAGTTTCCCTTTATGAAGGGGGTAGGAGTCAGACTTGGCCACCTCCATGTTGCATCTGCTCCTTTTACAATTGCCCTGAGGGGTTTTGCAGGATGAAGAGGAGTTCACCTGATGGTCTGTGGAGGAGAGTTTCATGCTGAAGGAAACATGCACCAGAAGGCATGTAGGGAGGAGGGCTCACTTCCAAGACACTTCACAGCCCCTTCTTTAACCCCAACACAGATCATGTCCTATTTCCCTCTTTGGAAACTCACCTGTCCCCCAGATGAAAGCAGTTCCTCTCTCTGCATTATAAGGACCAGATGGCGACTCAAAGCTGTGAACATGACTATGTTTCTACTCTACATTGAAGGCTGTGGTGCATTCACTCAACAAACTTCATTCATTCAACAAATGTTGAGTGAGTGCCTACTGTACGTCGGACCTCATTCTAGGTGCTAGGGACGGAATAGGGAACTTGGCAAGGTCCCTGTCCTCAATTTACTGACATCCTGGTGTAACAAGTTAGACAAAGAGTAAATATACAGACCACCAGGTAATGAGCCATCGTGAGGTAAGCAAGTTCTAGCCAGTGGAGGGTGAGACCAAAGAAGACCCTTGAAAGAGATGACATTTTAAGAGACCGGGAGGCAAGTGGGATGGAAGCTTTAGTTTTTCCACGTGTCCAGGCTCGGGGGTGGGGGTGCTGAAGTGAGTGTGTTCCAGGGATAGGAGGGTCAGTGCCCCTGCTCAGTGTCCTGTGTTCAGGAAGCAGCAGCCGGAGGCGATGAAGGATGGGGGAGGTGAGCACATTGTGGATTTTACTTCAAGGGTGGCAGTAGGGAGCCAAGGCAGGGTTTAGAGCAGAAGGTGACTCTTGCCGAACTTTACAGACGCTCTGGCTGCCATGTGGGGACACAATGGAGGAAGGAGCGGTGTTTGTCATTCACTCCCCCAGATTGCCCACACTCCTGTCTCCAGGATGGAGGGGTCACCCTCTCCCAGGGCTTATGGAACAGTGGGAAAAGGAGGACTTTGTAAACAGATGAGGATGGGATTCCGGCAGGGTCGTCCTGGGTCAGCACCTGCCTCCCTGAGCCTGTTTCCTCCACCGTCTGCAAGGGTTCAAACCTCAGCTGTGGGAGGACACACACAGTGGGGGCCTCCTGCTTCTGATTTGACTTCTACCCTCCCTCACACGTTCTGGAAAGGGGAACTGGTCATCCAGGCTGGTGGAGGGCACTCACGGAAAGCCCCCAGTTTCAGGGACAGGCAAAGACTCAACCATGTTTTGTTGCTGTGACCTGTCTGGGAGACAGTCCTGACTTGGACAAGTGCTGCCTGGTCTGCACCAGCCCCAGGGGGGGTTGCACACTGGACCATATTGAGCTGTAGGGTCGGCTGGTTTCCAGTAGTAGATTACCAGGTCTTTCTTCCTAGTCCATCATAATTTGGGACTTCATCTGAAACCTGTTAAGCATCAAAGCAGCACTTACTTATATACGCTTCCATTGAGAGACAGGTGACGTGATGACTAGACAGGAGGGGTCTTGACTGGGACTCGAACTTCTGGTCTCCTGTACAGAAGAGGAGAATTCTACTACCACTGCTGACCTACTACTGCTCGGCAAAGTCAACTGCCATGGAGTTGATCGTGGCTCACGGTGGCCTCGCGTGTGACAGTAGAAATATCTCCAGATGGCTTGCAATGGCCGATTTTGCAGAAGCAGGCCACCAGCCTTCATATCTGGTGGAATGGAGTCTCTTTGTGCCAGTCTGGAATCCTAGGGACCTACAGAGACATCAAAACGCCCGGGGTGGGAGGAGAACGCCCCAGTGTGGAGGGGGATGGGGTGGATGCTGCATCTTGGGGAAAGGAGGAGTGTAGACTGACACCCCTAGGCCTTTAATGAGACAGCAAAACATGGATCAAGAGCCCATTTCTATTTTGCACAAGGAGGCCTACCGGTTCCAATTGCTCTTTAAAACAAAACCGTTGCACTTACACGATTCATTAAGAATGTGTACTTTAAAAAAAATTGTGTACTTTAAAAGATGCACATGTGGAGAAGCGTAGGAAAAAAAAAAAGATGCACATGTGGCCTAGTGGCAAGAAGCTGCACTGCAGTCCCAGAGGTGGTTGTTGTTATGTGCCCTCCAGTCGCTTGCGACTCATAGCGACACTATGTACAACAGCCCTAAACTCTGCTCTGTCCTGTGCCAATCGCACTGTCTCTGACTCCCATCCCAATTGTCCCAGTCACTGAATCAATCCACCTCATAGAGGGCCTTCCCCTCCTGTGCCGTCCCTCCACCCTCCCAAGAATGAGGTCCTTCTGCAAGGACCGGTCTCTCCTCACATGTCCAGAGTATGTTAGATGGAGCCTCAGAATCCTTGCCTCCAAGGAGCCACCCGGTTTAACCCTTTCCAGGACGAATCTGTTTGTTTTCCTAGCAGTCCATGGTATTCTCAATACTCTTCTCCAGCACCACAGCTCAAAGGCATCAATTCTCCTTCTATCCTCCTTGGTCATTGTCCAACTCTCTGATGCATAACAAGTGATTGTGAAGACCATGGCCTGTATCAGACGCACCTTAGTCTCCAGAGAGACACCATTGCTCTTCAGTACTTTGGAGAGGTCCCTAACAGCAGACTTTCCCATGGCAGTGTGCCTTTTAATTTCCTGGCTACTGGTGCCAAGAGTGTTGACTGTGGAGCCAAGCAAACTAAAGCTGTGTACAATCTCAATCTCTTCACCATCCATTCTGATGCTGCCAATTGGTCCAGTGGTGAGAATCTTTGTCTTCTTGACATTGAGCCTCAATCCATAATGGAGGCTGCAGTCCTTGACCCTCTGCAGCAGGTGCTTCAGGTCCTCTTCAGTTTCAGCAAGCAGGGTTGTGTCATCTGCATAACGCAGATTGTTGATAAATCGTCCACCAATCTTGACCCCGCATTTCTCCTCATAGAGCCCAGCCTCCCGGATAATCTGTTCTGCAGAGGTACATGGTTCAAATCCACCAGATGCTCTGCTGGAGAAGGACAGGCAATCTCCTCCTGGACCAGTCAGTACACACACACACACAAAATAATAAAATAAAATTAAGAAAAGAAAAAGATGCACGTGAGATCGGAAGCTGTCAGGGTCAGAAGTGGATTGGGGCTACCCGGGCATGGTGCAGAAGACGCTGCCCTGGGCAGCAGGCAGGGTGGGCCCGAGGTCCAGGCCAGGCTGCACCCCCAGCTGTGGGTCCCGCCACTCTTCTGTGCCAGTGGACGACAGAGGGGCTTTCCAAGTAAGCATCCCACTTGGATGCTTCTCCTGCACTGACGTTGGGGAGAGGGCGTGACCTGGTCGCGCTCCGCCCACCGCCCCGCCCCTCCGCGCGTGACCAGACCCCACCCCCGCGAGCCCCCGCCCCGCCCCCTCCCCCTCCCGGCTCCTCTGTCACTTCCTGATTCCCGCTTCCTGCTTCCAAGAGGCCGGGATCCGGAGCCGCCCGAGGCCCTGCAGCCCCCGGCTGTCCCGGTGAGCGCGGCGGGGCCGGCTGGGGGTGCGGGCGGGGGTCCGGGCTGGCGGGAAGCCGGGGGCTGGGGGCCCCGGGGTGGGGGATGCAGGGCCAGGGAGCCCACCCGTCATGGCGCCCCACGCCCAGTGCCCGCTCTCCATGGTTGCACGACTTCTCCCCTCCCGGGCCAGGGGTCCTTGGAAGGTGGGCGTCCCGTTCCCCTGGGGCCTGTCCAGAGATGCTCTGCGGCGGGGAGCAGCCTTCCAACCTCTCCTGCCCCCTTGGGCTCCCTGCTGCTGGGCCTGGGACTTGATCTGGCCTGATTCATCCAGCCGGCTCCCTCTACCTCCCTCATCACCCATCCTTGAACTAGGGGCCCACAGAAGAGCCAGAATTCCTCTGGCTTAGGACCATTCCTCCATAGCCCCCACATGCACCAGAGCCAGGGAGAGGCTGGCAGGGTCTGCAGCCTCCAGGCTTGTCAGCAGGCAGGGCCCCTGGTCAGTGCATTACCCGGCAGATGCCCTCGTCCACCCTCCCTGCCGCGTGACCCCATTCTGTAACGGGAAACACTAGGACCCAGCCCCCCCATCTGCTTCCTCCCCACCTGCCTTCACATGATCCTGGGAGGGCTGGGGGGCTCGGAGACTTGGGTGCTGACTCAGACCCCCACCCGTAGTCATGTCCTTCCGCAAAGTGGTGCGGCAGAGCAAGTTCCGCCACGTATTCGGCCAGCCGGTGAAGAATGACCAGTGCTACGAGGACATCCGAGTGTCCAGGGTTACCTGGGACAGCACCTTCTGCGCCGTCAACCCCAAGTTCCTGGCGGTGATCGTGGAGGCCAGTGGCGGGGGCGCCTTCCTGGTGCTGCCACTGGGCAAGGTGGGCTGGGTCAGGCTCGGCCGCGCCCAGAGCTCGCATGGTGGCCCGGAATCATGTTTATTGCTCGGGAGGTGTTGGTTCAGATAGGGAAAGTGTTTTCTTGACAGTCAGGGTCGGAGGCAGCTTCCTGCTCACCTGCTTCCGGCAGGCAGGTGGGGCGCGGTCATTGGTCACTGCAGAGATGACCTGTGAGCAAGACAAGGTGGGAGGTGGGCTGTCCCTCCTTGGAGGGATGAGGGCTGGGGTCTTGGGTCTCCCTAACTGGTCCCCCCATGCCCGCAGACGGGCCGCATTGACAAGGCCTACCCGACGGTGTGTGGGCACACGGGCCCTGTGCTGGACATTGACTGGTGTCCCCACAATGATGAGGTCATCGCCAGCGGCTCAGAGGACTGTACCGTCATGGTGAGTCTCAGAGCCCCAGTGGTTTGCACTGAGGGGTGGGGCAGGGACAGGTGCAGGCCTTACGCCCACGAGCCACCTTCCCACCCCAGGTCTGGCAGATCCCCGAAAACGGGCTGACTTCACCGCTGACAGAGCCGGTAGTGGTGCTGGAGGGGCATACCAAGCGAGTAGGCATCATCACCTGGCACCCAACGGCCCGCAACGTGCTGCTCAGCGCAGGTGGGCACCACGCATGCTGTCTGTCCCTCCTGGGCCCGCCTGCCAGAGGGACTCACCGAGGCCTCCAAAGGTCTTGAAGGTGGGCCCGGCTGAAGGCCCCTTCCTGTCCACAGGCTGCGACAACGTGGTGCTCATCTGGAACGTGGGCACAGCGGAGGAGCTGTACCGCCTTGACACCCAGCACCCCGACCTCATCTACAACGTCTGCTGGAACCGCAACGGCAGCCTCTTCTGCTCCGCATGCAAGGACAAGAGTGTGCGCATCATCGACCCCCGCCGTGGCACCCTGGTGGCGGTACGTGGCCCCGGGGCGCGGGATATCGGTGACTAGGTATGGGGGGCCCGACTGGGTTCTGCACTGACCCTCTGGCCTTGCCCTACCCCCGCCGCAGCACCCTGGTGGCGGTACGTGGCCCCGGGGCGCGGGATATCGGTGACTAGGTATGGGGGGCCCGACTGGGTTCTGCACTGACCCTCTGGCCTTGTCCTGTCAGGAGCGGGAGAAGGCCCACGAGGGTGCCCGGCCCATGCGGGCCATCTTCCTGGCCGATGGCAAAGTGTTCACCACCGGCTTCAGCCGCATGAGTGAGCGGCAGCTGGCACTGTGGGACCCGGTGAGTGCAGGCCAGCCTGGGGAGTGCCAGCAAGGCTCCCTCAGCCAGCACCTGGCCCCTCGCAGGCTCCCCTCCCTCTACCTCCGTGCTGTCGCCCTCCTTGTTTCTTTGGCTTCTTGGTATCACCTGACTGCCCTTGGAGGCCCAGCACAGTCTCCCTCCTCCAGGAAGCCTTCCTAGTTTCTCCCCTGAGGTGTTTTGCCCCACAGCCCTGAGCTTCTGCACTGTGGCTTCTAGGAGCCCTTGACATTCCCACACCCATACAACCTGCCCACAGTACCCTAAAAGTTCTGGATGAAGTAGACTAGCCAGCGCTGGTGTAGACGGACTTGGGAGGACCTGGCAGGGCATAGTGGGTGGCAGAGGAGGAGGAGGAGGGAGGGAGCCACTAGGGACCACATCTGCAGCTGGCGGGGCCCGTCCTGTCACAGTTCCTAGCCTGGCTGCCCCCACCCCTGCCAGGCGAACCTGGAGGAGCCCATGGCCCTGCAGGAACTGGACTCCAGCAATGGGGCCCTGCTGCCCTTCTATGACCCTGACACCAGTGTGGTCTACGTCTGTGGCAAGGTGAGGCTGGTGCTGGGCAAGGGTGGGGCCTTTGCACAGGGGCTGCCGTGTGCTGATGCTTCCCGTTCCAGGGCGACTCCAGCATCCGGTACTTTGAGATCACAGACGAGTCCCCCTACATCCATTTCCTGAACACATTTACCAGCAAAGAGCCCCAGAGGGGCATGGGCAGCATGCCCAAGAGGGGCCTAGATGTCAGCAAGTGTGAGATCGCCCGGTAAGAGAGTCAGGGAGTGTTCGGTGAGGGGGGGGACCCTCAGGAGTAAGACAGCTCGGGGGCTGGGGGGCAGCAGACCCAGGGAGCCCAGAGTCAGGATGTAGCCTGGGGGAGGAGTCACCCCCTTTAGGAGCTTCTCAGAGGTCAGGGGTCAGCCGCCAGGCATGGTGAGTGGAGCAGGAGAGCTGATGGGGTGCCTCCACGGTCCCCTCCCTTTTCCAGGTTTTATAAGCTGCACGAACGCAAGTGTGAGCCCATTGTCATGACTGTGCCAAGAAAGGTGAGGCCGTCCCTGCCTCTCCTTCAGCACATGGGTCCACGGGTGTCACGGGACTGAGTTTGAGTGGGAAGTGTGGTCAGTGCGCTGGCCAGATGCCAGCATGTTCTGCACCCAGCCCTGCGTTTGTGCCTAGTGACAGGCCAGTCCTAGGAGAGCTGCAGGAGAGGTTCTAACAGTCGCGGACAGTTGCGGTGGGAATAGACCATGGGGGGTTCTGGCTGGAGGAGGGTCCTGTGAGGGGGGCCTCTGACGTGGGCAGGCTCTGTGAGGCTTCCTCCAGCGTCCACTGATGGCTCTAGTCCGCATCTCGGGCACACCCAGGAGCCCTGACTGAGCCTGGTGGGGTCTGCTCCGGGAGTGACCCGGCGCACACATGCTCCCCCTAGCTGGGTGGATGTGTCACAGGGCTGGGGAGGGTGGGAAAGCTGGTGGTGGTGTCCAGAGGGGAAGTGAAAGGGCAACTGGAGCTTCAGAAAGGTCACCCAGGTTTGCTCGTTGGGTGATAGATGGACAGGGGGACGGATGAGATCAGAATCCAGACTGTAGGATCCAGGGAGGGCGTGTAAGCTCAGAAGAGGTCAAGGCCAGGGCTGGGGGCATGGAGCTCCTGGGTGGGGGGTGTGTGTGTCTGTGCCCCCAAAAGCTGAAGGGTCTCAGCTGATCCTGCCCCCGCCCCTGTCCAGTCGGACCTCTTTCAGGATGACCTGTACCCCGACACTGCCGGGCCCGAGGCGGCCCTGGAGGCCGAGGACTGGGTGAGCGGCCGCGACGCCGACCCCATCCTCATCTCCCTGCGTGAGGCCTACGTGCCCAGCAAACAGCGGGACCTGAAGGTCAGCCGGCGCAACGTGTTATCAGACAGCCGGCCGGTGGCCACCCCTGCTCGCTCAGGGGCCCCCACGCCTGCAGCCACCACTGCACTGACCACAGCTGGCGGCAACCTTGCTGGAGCCGGGGTGTGTACAGCGGGGAGGGGAGCAGGTGGGCGGGGCCAGAGTGGGCAGGGACCTGGGGGTGGGGCAGGCTCTGCTCCTCCCTGACACCCCCACCCTGGGGCCCTGAACCGCTGGCCTTGCAGGAATCCAGGAAGCTAGACGAGGTGATGCAGGAGCTGCAGAGGCTGCGGGCACTGGTCAAGGAGCAGGGAGAGCGTATCAGCCGCCTGGAGGAGCAGCTGGGCCGCCTGGAGAATGGGGACGCCTAGGACCCCTGCCCCCGGACACCCCCGCCTCCTCTGCCCCCTTAACTCAGCTTCTGCTGGCAGGTCACACCCCCTGGCTGCTATGCCCCAGGCGGGTTCAGGGGCCGCCCCCACTGCCCTGGCCCACCCCATAGGGCCCTCATCTCTGTACTGTGGAAGATTTTCAGATGAGGCAGGCAAGCTTATACTGAGGGACCAGCCCCCTCTTTGCCCAGACCCCCCACCTCTTAGAGGAAGTGGGAGGGATGGGCTCTATATTTTCATTCCAAATAAAATTCTCTTTCTAAAACACAGATCTGGCTTGCTGCCACAGGGTGGGGCTGGGAAAGGAAATTTGGGGACTGGGGGAGGGTAAGGCCCCCGGAATTCGGGAGTCCTGCCGGGTGGTCAAACTGAGGCAGGAGCCCAGGATGCCTCTCAGGCAAGGCCCTACTCTTGGCTGGGTGCCCAGTTTCTCTGGTAGCCTGGCCACGGGCCCCACAGCTCCAGCCTCATCCTGGCATTTAAGGGGTTGTTGTTGTTGTTGTTATGTGCCGTTGAGTCGCTTGTGACTCATAGCAACCGTATGTATGTACAACAGCCCTAAAGTCGGCTCTGTCCTGTGCCGGTGGCATTGCCTCCTACACACCCATCCCGATCACCCCAGTCACTGAATCCACCTCATAGAGGGTCTTCCCCTCCTGCGCTGTTCCCTCTACCCTCCCAAGCATGATGTCCCTCTCTTTTTTTTCATTTTATTATTTTCGTGTG